GGAGGTGGCCCGCCGGCTGGCCGAGGAGCTCCGGCATCGTGCGCTGCCCCACGCGGGCTCGAAGACGGCAGCCCACATCACGGCTTCGGTCGGCATCAGCACTTTCGAGGACGGCGAGCTGACCCGCAGCGGCGAACCCTTGCAGGCCCAGCGCACGGGCGCACAGGCAGCGCATCCCGACGACCTGGTTCGTGCGGCGGACGTCGCCCTGTACGCAGCCAAGAAGGCTGGCCGAGCGTGCGCCTGGCGCATCGACATGCGCGATGCAGCGCACCCCGAACGCGCCTTGCCCATCGGCACGGCCTGCGAAGCCGCCGAGACCCCGGACGGGAGCCGGCCATGAGCCTGGGGCACGCCAGGCGCGGCCAGGCAGCAGCCACGATGCTGGCCACGGTCGTGATGGCCATCGGCGCCTTGGTGGCGCTGCTGGCTGCCTATTTGCAGGCACGGCACAACGACGTGGTGGCCGCCCGCGCCTTCGATGAACTCGCGGAGCGCACGGTCGAGCAGATCCGGGCCCGCATGCTGCGCTACGACGCCGGGCTGCACGGCCTGCGGGGCGCGGTGCTGGCCGCCGGCGGACGGTCCCTGCGCAACGAGCAATTGCAGGCCTACGCCGACAGTCGCGACATGCGCCGAGAGTTTCCTGGCGCCCGGGGCTTCGGCGTCATCTGGCGCGTGCCTGTGCAGGACGAAGCCCGCTTCGTCGCCGCCGCCCGCGCCGACGGCCGCCCGGACTTCCGGATTCGCCAGATCCAGTCGCACAACCAGGAACGCAAGGTCATCTCCTTCATCGAGCCGGCCGCGAGCAACCAGAACGCCTTCGGCCTCGACATCGCGTCCGAACCGTCGCGCAATGCGGCCGCGGTGGCCTCGTCGCGCAGCGGTGAAGCCACGCTGACCGCGCCGATCACGTTGGTCCAGGCCACCGGCCAACAGAAGCGCGGTCTCCTGTTGATGCTGCCGATCTACCAGACACGGGCGCGACTGGAAACGCCCGCGGACCGTGACGACGCCACGATCGGCTGGACCTACGCCCCGCTCGTCATCGACGACGTGCTGAATGGCCTGGAAGGCGAAGGCCAGCGATTCCACCTGCAACTGTTCACGCCGGCTGACCCGAGCGGCCGCAGCCAGCAGTTCTACGGCAACGCCCTCATGCAGGCGCGGGAAGAACAGCTGCCGATGGCGGAGCGCAGCGTCGATGTCCAGGGCCAGCGCTGGGATGCCCGTCTGATCGCCACGCCCGAATTCATCGCATCGCTCAACCCCACCGAACCGCGGCGCGTCGCCGTGACCATCGGGATGCTGTCGGTGCTGCTCAGCGCCGTGGCCTTCCTGCTCGCCGTAGGGCGGGCCCGCTCGCAGCGCGAAAGCCTGGAAGTCGCCCGCCGCGCAGCCATCGTCGAAGGCTCGCAGGACGCCATCATCGGCGCGACGCTCGATGGCGTGATCACCGAGTGGAACAGCAGCGCCGAGCGCCTGTTCGGCTACCCGGCGCATCACGCCCTGGGACGCAGCGTGGAAGAACTGCTGCTGCCCGCCGACCGGCAGGCCGAAGACGAATTCGTGCGCGCCACGATTGCCAGCGGCCACCGGCTCCAGCCCTTCGAGACGCTGCGCCGGCACCAGGACGGCTCGCTGATCGCCGTGGCCCTGACGGCCGGCCCCATCCTGGACGACAAGGGCCAATGCGTCGGCATGGCCAAGACGCTCCGGGACGTCCGCGAGGCCCAGCGTGCGCGTGCGGAACTGGATGAGCTCAATGCGAGCCTGGAGGCCCAGGTCGCGAGCCGCACCGCCGCCCTCGTCACGGCGCTTCGCGACAACACCGCGCTGCTGCAGACGCTGAACCGATTTGCGATCGTCGCCGTCACCGATCCGTCCGGGCTCATCCGGGAAGTCAATGAGCCGTTCTGCCGGATCTCGGGCTATGAATCGCAGGAGCTCGTCGGCGGCACGCACCATGTGCTCGATTCCGGCCATCACCCGGCCGAGTTCTGGGCCGGCCTGCACACCAAGCTGCAGGAGGG